ATGAAAACAAAAAGATCACAGGAAAAAGGTCACAGAAGGATAACTCACAGAAAAATAAACCCTACCCCTACCCCTAACCCTAATGCATCCCCTCTGTTAGTACTAATATTAGCACATGGATTTCTGAGTTTAAACAGTTGAGCAATGTGTGTGTGACAACATTAAAAACACTCTATATACATATAATGGCACAATATTATGTAAGGTGTTTACATGCCATATTTTGTCTCAAAATGTCTGTATTAAATGTTTGGTTCACATTTGTGAAAACTATGTTGTCAGTATGAATATAAATGATGTTGTCAGCATCTACAATCATGTATTGTCAATTAATACATGTTTTGAAATTACTTGATTATGGTATTTAAATCAAGGAACATTTTTTTTCCTCTGACATTTTTTTTCCATTCACCAAAGCGAGTACCTCATTTAGGAAGGCTGAGAACCACCTTTGTGTTATTTTGTAATAACATTTGCAAAATCCTCCCATCTGTAATTGAAACTGCTTCTCAGTTAAAAAAAGTTGAGAAAATAAACAGTGAACTTTTTTTACAAGTTGAGAAGCACATTGCAGCATTTACAGTTTAGTTAAATAAATGGTTAGGGAATCATACCTGACACCTTCCTGTATCCCTTTAAGCTGTACTATTATTTATAGTAACACATGCACTCATACTGGGATATCCTTAAAAACACTGAAAAACCCCCCCAATAATTTAAAGTTATATTTTATTGGAGTTTTTCAATGTATGGAGGGGGAGGCAAACAAGTAGAAAGGCTATTCGTACAGTGTGGGGATTCTCACATCACATGCAGCATACTTAATGCATTGTAAAATAACGGTCATAATATGGCTTTAGCAGGAAGTGTACACATTATCTAAGCAGCATAAACATACCAAACTAGCACACCCTGTGAAAAGAAAAAAAGAACCAGTAAACAGGTCTGGCTCAGGAAGGGGAAATTATGTAAATAGAAGATAGGTAAGTAGGTAGTGTGGTCTGGTGACATAGACAGTAGGTTCTATATGAATTAAGGTTGATAACAAATCTGGTAGGATGTTAAAATGATATAATTTGCAAACCACCAAAATCTTTAGATAAGAAGCCATCAGAGTTTGCAGGAATCTATGATCTGCAAACTTTCGCTGTCTTAGGGATGAGCATAACCACCTAGCAAAGCTAGTGGGTATGCGGCAGCCTCCCGGTGTCAAATGCCAGAGATGAAAAGGCTTGCGCTGTGCATCTGCACAGCAACAGTCTTTCAGCCAATCAGGTGGTCAGGAGAGCCGTGCTGAACACGGGAATCCTGATTACCTCGGATTTTTACAATTGGGAAACTGCGGATGGTTAGCACATCCCACGAAGTACGAAGGATAAATATTTCCCACAGTGTACAGGGATATAATTAAACATTTAAACACAAAATAAAACGATTCAAGTTGCCCATAGTACAGGGGAACAAGAAAAATGTTTAATGAATCATGAAGACATACAAGATAGACTTGAAACTTTGTATAAAACAGCTGTGCTGAAAAACAAGGCAACAATGTATAGCAAAGGAAGGTATCAAATGAACACTGGTACCCTTCATCATAAATTGCAACATATAAGTTCAATAAAGAGAAAAGAAATGTTGTAACAAGTCCCAGCAAACAGATTCTTTATGCAGGGAGTCCATGAGAATATCAAACTGACGAGACTACTAGCATCCAATCCTCCTACTTAGGTGGATCCTTGGTTTGTTGGTCTTGTCTTGGAGTACGGTTATAGTCTGTAAAAAAACAAAACAGAGAACAGTTATCAAAAGGCTGAATAAGCACCAGATAACCTTGTGTTTTAGAAAAAAAAACAACTACCACCAGCAGGCAAAACCCTTAACTTGGAGGAGGGTGGGACGGGCGCTATTGCTAGGTGGTTATGCTCATCCCTAAGACAAAGAAAGTTTGCAGATCATAGATTCCTGCAAACTCTGATTTGTCCTCCAGGAGGCATAACCACCTAGCAAAGCTAGTGGGTAGAATAGCACACACCTGGTGGTGGTCCTAAGAAACTGAAGGCGTTCAACTTCTGATGGCCTCCAGTAAAATCTAACAAAGGTTTTACTGGAGAACCATCTCGCAGCTTTCAAGATAATAGGGAGAGGAAGGCCCTTCCCTGCTGCTTTAGTAGCCGAGGCTCCCCTAATTGAATGGCTTTTGAACACAGAAACATCAATTCCAGCCAAAGACATGGCGGAAAGTATCCAGCCTCTAATAGTATTAACCTTGGCTGGATGAAAGGGATTCCTTGATGTAATGAATAATTGATTGATATCTTTTCTAAATACAGCAGAAAGTTGAAGGTACGATTGTAACAAACTGACTAAACATAAGCCTGGTTCGGAAAGATCTTGGACCAAGTCCAATTCTACCGGACCAGGAGAAAAATGGGATGTTTTTTGTCTGCCTTTTAGTGTAATATGAAAACCTCCCGGGGTCCTGGACAACCAAGGGTCTGAAATATGGATTTGAGTTAACTCTGCTCCTCTAGCTGCCAGGGCCAAGGACAGCCGAGAAGCCAACTTAATAGCAGTCCATCTTAAATCAATTTTAGCATTATCCAAAGACTTTAGGAAATTTAATAGGACATCTACATCCCAAGTAGATGTGTAGCGTGGGGTATATGGGCGGCAGACAGATAACCCTTTTAGTAATCTCAAATACAGGGCATCCTGAGTAAGGTTGGGGATCAGGAAGTTTAAAGCAGATCCATATGTCTTGATTGAACTGACAGATAAACCAGAATAGAACTTAAGGGTAAGAAATTCTAAAGCCAATGGAACGGTGTCGGATCCTTGTGTGTTAGACAGAAAAGAAACCTCCCATTCTTTGAATTCCTCGATCATCTTTCTATATCTTACCCTAGTTCTACGTCTTAAAGCTGAGTTAATAATATCCAAGACCTTATCCGATAAAAGAGGATGTGTTAACAGCCTACTAGGGCTGCGATCCACATCAGCTGCGGGAGCTTGAGCAGGAGATCGCTGGTTCCCTGAAAGCAGTCCAATGTCATGCCCAATGGGATCTTGGTTCCCTTGACTAACTGATGGATCAAGAGATACCAGGGTCTGGAGGTCCATACTGGATAAACGAGAACTAAGCTCTGCACCCTGTCCCTGCGGATCTTCTCCAGCACTTTCATCAGTAAAGATGGAGGGGGGAAAGCATAAGGGGCTGGAACATCTGTCCATTGGAAAGACATTGCATCCATTTTCCAAGCTCCCTTTGTCCAGGTCCGGCAGACAAACCTGGGAGTTTGTGCAGATGTTTGGGATGTCTCTGGCCAAAATTGCTTTCTATCCGTTGGAAAAGAGCAATCTTTAATTGAATTGTTGCCAGGGACAAACTTTGGCAAGCTCGTTCGCCTCTCCCGGAACATATTCTGCGAAAACCTGAACATTGCTTGCTAAGGCCCAGGACCAAAGATCTAGAGCCTCTAAACAAAGACCCCTTGATCTTGTGCCCCCTCTGTGGTTTATATAAGCCACCGCTGTCCTGTTGTCCGATTGGACTTTTACCAACGTCGGTGACAGGTTTAGAGGAACTAGGCCCTGGAGAGCTAATTTTATAGCTTGTAACTCCAAGATGTTTATATGGAGGAGACTCTCTTGGTCTGACCAAATTCCTCTTAAGGCATTCTGGGCTGTAAACGCCCCCCAACCGTGACTTGAGGCATCTGACGTTCGAGTGACTGCCACAGGCTGCTCTAACAGGGGACGGGGAAGTGAAATTTGTAGCTCCAGAATGGACTTCAATTCTTCTCTGACCATCTTGGGGAGAACAAATTTTGATTCCCAATGGCCGCCCTGTCTTAGTCGGTTGCCTAAAAACAGCTGACTTCTCCTGCAAAGTAAGGGGGAATTGTTGTATGCTGGTGTTAAAGCTATTAATTTCCTGATAATCTTTGCTAGGTCTCTCAAGGACCAACTCTGGTGCCTGAGAGATGAGTTCAGATGTACCAGTAATTTGTCCCATTTGTCTTGAGGGATTCCTAGAGACATAGTCCTGGTGTTCAGTATGAAACCCAGAAAGAGGATGCTTTGAGTGGGAATTAGGACTGATTTCTGTAAATTTACTACAAATCCTAGGTCTTGGAAAAGGGAAGCAAGGTAATCCCTCTGAGAAGCAAGGGCTTCCCCATCTGGGTGCATGAGCAGGATGTCGTCTAGATAGTATAGACACATGAAACCTTTTTGTCTGACATGAGCTATCACTGATTTCATAATTCTGGAGAATGTGTATGGTGCGTTGGATAGGCCAAACACCATAACGGTCCACTGCCACACTTTCCCTTTCCACTGAAACCTCAGAAAACGCCTGTGTTTCTTGGCTATGGGGACTGAATGGAAGGAATCTTTTAGGTCTAACTTTAAGCAGAAAAAAGCTTTCTGTACTAAGCCTGGGAGATCTGATAAATCCTCCATCCTGAACCTTTTCCTTTTGATGAAAGCGTTCAGAGACCTCACGTTTAGGACCGGTCTCCAGGAACCGTCTGATTTTGGGATTGGGAACAATGCTGTAATAGACATCCTGTAATAGACATGTCTGCCAACTCTATTTCCCTTGACTTAAAGCTAAGGAAAGGGAGGCATCTAGCACTGGGTTCACCTCTCTGTGGGGTGCAAATTTCTGGACTGGAAACCTTAAAAGGGGGAGTTGTAAACCCCTTTGAAAAATCTTTAGAACCCATTTGTCTGAGGAAATATCCTTCCAATTTAGCGGCATATGAGGAGGCACACTTACTTGAATGCATGGGTTTTCTTTTGGAAGCTGAACCGCCTCTGGAATGCGCTCCTCTGCCACCGCCTGGGAGCTTGTGTCTTCCACTGTAGTGGCGGTACTGGGCCTGGTGAGAGGCTTCTCGGGACACTCCTGCAGCCCTATAGGTGCGCCCCTCTGTCCGAAAGGGCTTTTTGTAGCCCGGGACGGACTTCTTGAGTTCTGAAAAGGATCTCCTTGCCTTGTAACGGCCTTTTACCTCCTGAATGAACGAGGGACCGAATAGGTAAGAATCCTCCAAATTTGGGAACTCATGCGATTTGGGGGCTAGGTCGAACAGACCTGCTGCATGGAGCCAGCGGGATCTGCGGATGTTAGATATGTAATTAAAGGATTGGCCAATAATTAGCACTGCCCTGCCAGATGCTTTTAAAAGGGCCATCTTAGATGCCAACAGAGATGAAGCGGAAGGTTTCTGAGCATTGCCTTCTTTTTCTGCCTTATCCAGCATCAGTAATAGTGGGCCCACAGCATTAGCAATTTTGAACTGTATATTGCGAAAAGTCTGGTCTGTGGGATCAGAGGATACGCTGCTCCCTGTGATGGATAACAGAGCAGGATCTACCTCTGGGGCCATTAAAGCCTGAATGTCCGGGATACCAATGTGGTTCCTGAGGAGAAGGTCATCCTCCTTAACCAAGGGGGATCTGAAGGCTAGTTTTGCAAAATCTCTAACCTCAGAATTGTGCTCTATAGCCCAATCTGAGTGAAATAATTTTGATGGGAGAGTCTTTCCTAGGAGACTTAATCTGGCCATCTGAACATTGCTTAGCTTCCCTCGCTCAGTGGAAGCTGCTGAACGAACCACTTCCTCGGATTCCCAGTCTATTTCTGGAGAGCCGTATCTGGAACTGGGACGGCTTTGGGAGGAAGAGTGAGCAAACGCTCTAGAAGAGGAAGGAGAGGGACTATCTAACCTCCAACGAGATTTTTTCTCTGGAAGGTGTTTCTGGTGCTCAAACGAGGGAAACATGCTATTCCTTTTTTGGGGTCCTGTCCTCTTAAATTTACGCTTACTCAAATGAGTATGAGGGGAAGGAGGAGCAGAGAAGTTTTCCTCAGACAAGGAACTGGCGGAAGAGACCAGCCGCCTTCTTTTATTCTTTTTACTTAAAACTGGGAACAAATCCTCCTCAGAAGATGAAGAGGATAGATCCCTGGCAAGGAAAGCTCTCTTATGGAGCTTTCTGACATTGATGGGGCTGCCTTTAAGAGAGGCATCCACTAAATCTGTGGCAGACACAGAAATAGAGTCCTCCATCAATGATGCCATTTTTAAAAATCTGAGGTAATCAGGATTCCCGCGCTCAGCACGGCTCTCCTGATCACCTGATTGGCTGAAAGACTGTTGCTGTGCAGATGCACAGCGCAAGCCTTTTCAGCTCTGGCATTTGACTCCGGGAGGCTGCCGCATACCCACTAGCTTTGCTAGGTGGTTATGCCTCCCGGAGGACAAATATGAATCAAAAGAGTCCCAAAAAGGCCTCTAGACCTTTAGTTCTAAAAAGCTTATCCTAGACAATTTATCATATATTTTGTTATGCATTATGCATGCAAAAGGTAGGGCTCGTAACAGTTTTCTAGTTCTGGCTGTATGAATATATGCTTCACCAAAACTCTTACTTGCTCTTATACTCCTATAAGTAAACCCAAGTTGGTACGGGCCTTACGTCCAGTAACTCCCATTCTCCATGAAAGGAGTATTACCTATCTGTGGGGCCATTTACAAGACAAAAATGCAATTCTTAAAGGGACACTATAATGTAGTGGTTCTGATCCATCTCTATGAGGAGATACTGATTGCCGCAGCATGGCGTTTTGCCGTGCATGTGCAATAGCCTTCCAATCCAAGATTGATTATCTGAGCCATGGAGGTGGGACCAACCACTGCGAGACCGACATGGTATGGGAAAATATGTGACACACTCACTGACAGGCACACACACACTCACTGACAGACACACTGACAGACACACACACTCACTGACAGACACACACATACACTCTTACAGATACACACATTGACAGACACATACACACTCCCAGACAGACAGACACACACACACACAAACACACACATTTTCTCATACACAAACAAATTATTGTTTTTTTTATTTTAAAACATTTAGGAAAACTGTAATGGATCCTTTCCCTTGGATGCAGTTGGGTTGCTGCATCGCGTGCTCTTCAGTGATGCCAGGGCCAGAATTATGTAATATCCCAGCTCCCAACATCACAGCAGAATGTGAGGGAGCAGGGCTAAAATGTCAGGAAGATTACTGCTCACTCGCGGCCTCCATTCTCCATCAGCTGGTCACATCCTTGCTTTGTCGAGCTCTAGCCTAACTACTTCTTGTTTTGTTGGGTTGTTCATGGGTATGGGATCGGGGGGAATGGAACAGGGCACACCAGTCCAAGTAATGCCTCCTTTGGTACAATGCTGTGCTACATTACATGTGCTTACACTGACAGGCCACCCTGGAGACTGGCATAACGTTGGTCATAATTCAAAATGACATGCAGAACATTACAAACCTACAGACTCGACACAAACTATCATTGTCTGAACCACTCTACCATGAATGTCACCTGGCAAGGAAAGAGTTGTTGATCTCTCCCAGAGCCTGTTCTATGAGATTCCAACAAATGCAGTAGGTTCAGTGGCGTACATATAGGGGTCGCAACTGCGTCACCCTATGAGGAAGAGTTCCTGTGGAGACTACAAAATGCCTGGTCCCAGGAGTGTGGCCCTATTTCAGCGGATTGGATGGGATACAGCGAGAGCTCTGGCTAGAGGCCTTAGAGGGGTTCGTGGGAAGAGATCCATTCAAGCAGAGAAGAGCGCAGTCAAAAACAAGCAGCGCTGAGGACGTCCTTCCTGGGGTGTCCATCCATGGGAGAAGCGGTCCTGGAACTTTAGCGGTTGGTTAGGAAAGAACTGTGGCTGGATGGAGCCTACCGGGTCCTAAGGTAGTATGCAAACAAGAGGTGTCCCTGGAGGAGGGAGCCCGGCTCTACCCACTCTGCAGGACCTTGAGTTTGAGCTCTGCCGTGGTCTCCAGGCCTGGGAAGAAGGATGCCCAGATGGTAGATACCCCCACTCCATAGGGGTAACCGTCACAGTATGTGTCTCTGTATGTATGTGTGTCTCTATGTATATGTGTGTCTGTCAGAGGGGAGAGGGGGATAAGAGGGAGGGGCCCATGGATCAATTTTGCACCGGGTCCCCATGGATTGTGTGTACACCACTGAGTAAGTTATTAGCATATTATGTAAGAGACAGCAATGGCTCCATATACACTGATTTAAAGTGAACACAGACAAATCCACCTCCTTTGCACGAGACATTACAGCTGACATTACCACTATAACGTCTTAAAGCACAGAACTTAGTAGGGCTAACCATACCGATATCATTAGCCATAATTTTATATAGTTAGTATGAGATCCTCTATTTAAAATATATAAATAATAGAGAATACAATATAAAATAAGGATTGTCTTGGAAGTAATAAAGTTTTGTCTTTTATATTTTATTAAATAAAAATATAAATATAGACATATAAAATCCATTACAATAATTTATAACAGGGGGGGCGGGGCCTGATAGCCAAGATGGCCGGACGTAATCTTTGAAAGCTCCAGCACCAGCAGACACAATCCCACTAATCCTGTCCAAACAGCAAAAGCTACAAACATAAGGAGCTTGGAAGGTGACACAGGACCTAGCAGGGAACAAAATGATACCTGTCCCGTGCCGATCCGCACTTCAAGAGCCTGAACCGGCCATGCGGCCTAAAACTAAGTGGAGCCTGCAGCATGAAGGAAGCGATCGACCACCCGGCAAGGGACCTGCTCACAAACGAGAAGCTGCCCCCCCCCCCCTGGACCGGCGGGGGTTATCCCGGTCCTCGCTGGGGACGATCACCCCCAATCAAGCGACAAAGTCCACAGACAGGCAGAAATGCCAGGGCCTAACCAAGATGGCGGCTGGGACGCAGCCCTCGAAGGGAAGAACCCACATCAAGCCACCAACACACACTCTAGAGTTCTTTGACCGGCTTGGCGCAAGCCTCTGGACAGAACTCCATACCAAAAGCCGGATCTTTAAGCTAGCGTTGAAACAAGCAGCGTCCTGGATTCGCCCAGCAACCCGACGCCAACTATGCCGACACCCGCCCACAGCTCCCAGGGCAGTCTCCCGACAGAGGAGTAATAGTAAACCCGGTTGGCAGACAAAATTGATATACCCCCCGGACACCAGTACCCGCCTGAGCACATACGAATGCGGGACCACCCACCTCGCCCGACCCGCTCACCATCCTACGGTGTCTGTAACCACTGACCATCAGGCGGAACTCGCCATCTCCCTGGCTCACGCTCGGGAAGATGGGAGCAATCGGCGCAGCGAACACCCCACATGGGCTCTGGAAAAGTCCCGACGAGAGGGAACAGAAGAAATCACTGCCCACCATGGTAACCGGGAGGCTACCGAAACTCACCCCCCTAACGAAACACAAAGAATCAGCAGGGGCACTGGGACTGTACCCACAACGGCCCCACAGAGCGGGCGTCGGCTGACTGCAGGCCACCCTGGGGACTAAGACCTAGGTACCCCATGTGAGCAAGGGGGAAGGTTTCCTATGTTGCAACACGAACTCCCAATCCGCTGACCTTTACCGACCTGCCGTCTTCTGCTTCACACCTCACAGGGACGACGGTCGCCATCACCTGCACAGCTGTTGTGCATAACCCTGGACTGCCAAGGACTCTTTCTCGGGTACATAAGCGAAGCTACCAGGGATTCTTATGCTAAATCTATGTTATAATATGCTTTAAGTCGTTTAAACCCTGGTTACTGTATTACAATATTACCTAACAAACGTTGACTTTGGCAAAAGTTTGAAAGTTAGTCATGGTTAAAATTAAGTTTAATATTTAAGATAACTAATAGCAATGAACAGGCTTTCTGTTTGACCAACTTCACAAGCGTTATATAATAATGAGCATATTTCATGTATCTTATCTTGTTGATATGAGATAATCACAAAGCGACTCATGGCCAATTGATAGACCTAGCACCAGCACCTGTATAACTTAACACTGAAAATTTGCTTTGAGCCATCTGTTTGTTAACACTGTTTCATGCGCACAGGTAAGCCTCATGCTGCCCTATAAGAATGTGCTACACTATAAAAAGGTGCGATATACCCATAATATAATGCACGACTAGTTGTGTAGAGCGCACACTTAGCCTAGCATGATATACTATAATAATTATATATATTGTGCAAACTCCAAGGAAGCAAAGTGTTACTTCACCCGACGCATGTATGTCTCGTATAAATATTTTATGTTTGACTAGCCTATGGCATAGCGTAAAAACCTACTATCCAGAAAGTTGCAAGCGATGTTGTTTCGTGTTATGTATTGAAATACTTAAGCAACGTACATCTATACTGTTCATAACCTTATTTACTAAAAAAATGTGCTAGATCCACCGTCTACCCCTATGTTTAGCCTGTTTACCAAGCGCTAGAGGACTGCCTTTGGGGTACCTCACAAGCGACTGTTATAACTGCATGCACAACTAAAATAAAGAATTTATAACAATAATTTATAACAGAGTTTATAAGATTAAACTATATGCTTTCATCATGTCAGCCTCTCTGTCATTATAAGACAAAGCGTCTTAATTATTGTTTATACTAAATTTCCATTATCCTAGGACAAATGGTGTAAGTCAGGATGACGTAGCATACGCCTTGAAGATATTATTGCATTACTTGTTTTGTATTAAGCTAAGACAAATTGGCATAAATATATTATGCACTGAAAGTAGGTAAGAGGTTATTGCTTAAAGGACCACTATAGTGCCAGGAAAACA